TAACAATGCTACAATCTTAGAGAAAAGAGTACATAATTTAGAAAAACGAACGTTCCTCGAGTCGATGCATTCAATATTAGACAATAAAACAATTAACGAACACAAAGAATTCCCACGCATGTATTTATCGCTTGTGCAATCATGTGGCAATAATGACGATATTTAAAACCTTGAACTATCCGAACTGCTCTTAGTACTCTGATGAAGGTTGCAGTTAGCAACCGAAAATTTAGAACTTTTTAGACTTTTTATTGTACATATTCTAGTATTTTAAAAAGAATTTTAGACCAGCTTCAACTCCAAAACTATCATGTATTCCACTGGTCGCTCATGTATTCCACTGGTCGCCCCAACAGCATATATATATATATATATATATATATATATATATATATATATATATATATATATATATATATATATATATATATATATATATATATATATATATATATATATATATATATATATATATATAATATAATATATATATATATATAATATAATATATATATATATAAAATATAATATATAATATATAATATATAATATAATATATAATATATATATATATATATATATATATATATATATATATATATATATATATATATATATATATATATATATATATATATATATATATATATGAGCAATTACATGTAATACTAGTCTGCGTATAGCAGCCGGGTTTTTTTTGTTTTTGTTTTTGTTTTTTTGGGGGGTGTCTAATAGAATACAGTCTAGAATACAATGTATCACATTTAACCAAATGAATTCTTAGATTTTTATATGACTGTTCTTGCAGTTGTACAAACGTTTGCAATTCTACCAACAGTGGTAGCAATTATTTAATTAAGCATTATATACAAGGTGGGGCATAACCGCTATAATTTAGTTATTTACAACAAATATCCGAAAATACATGCGAAGATGCCACGGTTGGACATTATTGAGACATTACCGTTCTGTCACTAAGTGCCATTTGTATGGCTTTCTCCAGAGCAGCAATCCAAGAATGTAGCTCTTCCTCATCCTCGCACTGAAATCTTGGGAAAGAAAACAAAGTTAGAATAATGAGCATAAAATATATAATAGGAGATCGGCCTAAAATAATTTTCGAGAAATTATTCCACCATTTTGTATTTAAAATGTCCACTTTGAGATACAGCTCCTGAGAATCTCTTGCTATAGTACAGTAGCCTAAGCTAACGAACGATCGTAGTGCATCCAGTTTTTCTGCAGGCCAAGCTAGTCAGGCCTATACGGCTACGTCACATCAAAATTTGCTTACACTTCCAAACTGTATAGGCCAAAGCAAATGGATGAGCCAAAATACCTTAGTTCAGCAATCGGACTTTAGAAATGTTGTGTTCACCTTCCTGAATATGGTGGAAACTATACAGACTACATGTGCATGTTTATCCAATGGTAAGAACAAATACACAGGACTTACAGGTACGTCCTGTGCGGCGTGACAAGTTGAAAACGAGTTGGAGATTTGGGATCCACTCTGACAGAAGCAATATTCATCTGAATCGTATTGATCGGACTAGCAACTATGAAGTCCTAACCGAGAAATTAAAATTAATAGTTTAATTAATAAATATATAATATTATTAATAAAAATAATTATCACTATATATAGATGCTTGATCATATACGAATATAATCTTGCAAGTCTTTTGCGCAAATGCTGTAGGCCATATTTGTTTGGATGGATTTTGTTTCCATAAAAGTGGGAATTCCTACATAACGATGAACTGTATTTGCATGCATAATATTCTTTAACTGTTTACAATGTACTTCATTACATTATATAAACTTGGGCAAGATTAATTGAAGAAAAAAAATTATACAACCAGTAATAACGTGCATTTTATAACAGAATACTGATCATCTTACAGCAAGTTCGTATGTTTTAATCTCGATATTTGAACTGCATGTTTATCCTATTCAATTCCTATACTATACGAACCAGGTTGCATGTATACCAACCTCGGAGTTGTGGTAATATGCCAACATTCCATCTTTCACCGCGACGTACCTACATAATTTTGAAATAATTCAACATGTTCATTTGATTATAGCTGTCCCGCCCTTATTCCCTATGAACCGAAATAACCTTGTAGCTGAATCCTGAAGGGTTATATGAGGTAGTTTCATATATTCAAGGTGTTATGGAACCAGTCATTTGAGGAAGGCACTGCTTCGAAGCTTAGCACATAATATGGTTAGCACATAAGAACCCAATATAATACTTTAAATAGAGCCATGAATGACTTTTCTATGGGCTCTTATTTTCATCGTAAGAATATGTTTCCAGCCCGGAAAATCACTCGTGAATATATGGTTCATCCTTCTTTAAAGTGCACCTAACCTCGATTCTTCTAACATCTCATTCCTAAGAGCCTGAAATGATATTTAAAATGATATTTGATATTTGAAATGAACTTATTTTGACTGAGATTTTCGTTTGCACACTTTGTCTCCATGCAAATGTCCGGAATTTACGTCACATATGAATAATGACTGATCAAAGAATGTAAGGTACAGTTAAATATCATGAAATAAAAAGGCTCCCACAACTCCAAACTTTATTTTAATGAATACGATATACATGTACAAGCTTTTACTTTAAGTCATTATGCATTTGTGACGTAAATTCCAGATATTTGCATACCAAACAAACTGAAATATCTCAGAAACAAAGTGAGCAAACGAAAATCTTCAAAATAAGTTACTATATCATTTCAGAAGTTCTTAAGAATGAAATGATAAAAAGAATTGAGGTTAGGTGCACTTTGGGATAACATTATAATAATAATAATAATAATGATCTTTATTCATGAATAATTAAATTACACGTTAGGCAAAGGCTTATATGGCTATATAGATGGACAGCCAAATTTCCTGATTACATGATTACAGTTATAGTAATAATTAGAAGGGAAGTGAACAATTATTAAATACGAAACACTGGGTAGAAAATATCAAAGTGCCAAATGACAATAAAACAACAAAGAATATCAGTTGTTGGTTAATACAGTTAATAAGCTTGAGACAAGTAGTAATCCTTCAAAATACGCTTATAATTAAAATATTTTAGCGAATTACGAAGAGTATACGGAATTGCGTTCCAAATTTTTGGACCTTGGGATCTGATTGAAAATGATAATTTATTAAATGTGAAATGGAAATTATGTTTTTGTCTAGTATTGTGATGATGCATTTCACTGTTTACAGTAAAAAGTGAAGCAATAGGTTGTGGCAAGAGGTTGTTATTATGTTGAAAGATGAAGCAACTTACTTGAAACTAAATATTTCAAATATATTTAATATTTTCATTTGATTAAATAAAGGACGAGAATGCGCTAGAGGTGGTGCATGAATGAGAGATAATATGAACAGCCCGTTTTTGATAAAGAAATAAACGGTTTAGATGAGTCTTATAAGTTGATGCCCATACAATAGTACAATATTGTAAATAGGGCAAGATGAGAGAGTTGTATAGCAAGCGAAGGGTCGATATCGCAAGGTACTGTCTAGCTTTATAAAGTATTCCTATTGTTTTCGATACTTTAGAGTTGATGGCGTTAATATGTGCGGTCCATGACAAATTCTGGTGAAGAGTTATTCCGAGAAATTTTGTTTGTTGAACTCTTTCGATGATTACATGTATTTACATAAATTCGCTACCTTCAAAACATTCACTGTTCAGTGTTTACACTAGATAATGATAACAGGTTGATGCGAATTAAATCTGATGCTATTTTTCATGAACCTGCTTGTACAGACCTCTTTTTCCAATCAATAACAACATTGTTTCCCTGCTTCTTTAGGTAACCCTAAAAGCAAAGATATAATTCAAAACCGCAACACTTAACCATAATTCAATAATTTTAGAACTAATCCATTCTAAGGTAAAAAGACTACATTGCTAAATACTTTTGACAAATTCCTGGAAAAAACTGAACGGACTCACTATTGTCCCACACTGGAGAACAAAGCTACACTTGCATAGAAAAATGTTGCTTTTGGTCATTTTCGTAACCGAATATAGTATACACAATTTCGGAGATAGGCACTCTAAGCAACCTGTTCCCAGGTTCTTTCCTCTATGCAAAGAGCCTGGGAACTACTTGTATAGTGGTATGTAATTATTAAAACAACAACGACGAAAATCCCATCTTCCTGAACAGTGGGACCAGAGTAAATGTAACAATAACTTTTTTATCAGGTTCAAACTTAATTGTAACAATACCTTCTTATCAGGTTCAAACATATCACCACCAGGATCTTGAGTTACATTAGTTTCATCTTCTTTCTGTAGAAATAAATAATTAATAGTCATGACCTATATGCGATATCATATCTGTCCAAAGGTATACTTCCCCATTTTACCTATTATTCAGTCTGCGCATATATACACAATTTTTTACGATAGTATATGGTGTCCAGTGGTGCCTAAATTACTTTGAATTTGTACTCGAGTAAAAGTAGAAGTAATTAAGTAAAAAGTACTGGAGGCAAAACGTACTTAAGTAAAAAGTACAAAGTATCCTTAAAAAATACTTGAAGTACAAAGTAAAAGTACTATTGTCTATAGCGTGTAGGGGGGGGGGGGACTTCTCCAATGGATTGACATACAAAATTATTAAAAGACACAAAACAGCACACGCATTATATGCGTGCGCACCATAATATACAATATTTCACGCCATGATCTACTTTCCAGACCCCATTGAAGTTAAGTAAGCCACAAACGAGAAATCCCAGACGCATCTAGAGGTCCTATTACCTATCCCAAAATTAAAATAAATCGGGAATAAATCACGTAAAATTAAACAAATGTGAGAAAGTAACGAAATACTTCGCCACAAAATGAAAATAACGAAGTAAAACGTTACTTCTTAAAACGACTTCGTTCCAATTAAAAGTACCCCAGAAAAAGTTTACTTTGTTACATGCTAACTTCTCAAAAATAGTACTCAAGTACATAACGAAGTACTGTACAATCTTGTTGATATTGTTGTTTTTCGCTCAACAGCTACCTGTACTTGAGCACAAACGGTACCTTAAATCAGTGACAGAAGAGCTTGAAATATGGCCTACTCTTTCAGATAGTGTAATAATTTTACCAAGCCATTTTACCTTTTACATACACGAACTGAATAATTTCTATATATATGAGTTATATAGAACTAAATAACTATATATGAGTTATATAGAACGAAAATGAAACTTCACATTTTTGGGAAGTATTTTTTTATTTTATGTTTTTATCTATATATATGAGTTATATGGAACGAAAATCATAAACTACATAATCTGTTACCACCCAGAAACAATAGTAATATTGGTACTAGGCGAAAACGTTTCTTCCAATTACCAATTGTCAAAACAAACAGATTGAAGAATAGTTTTATAATGAATAATTCTTATAATTATTATTAACGTAAATAATAACAATAGATTCGACTATTCTTAGAAGTTGAACTAATGTACATTAGTAGTCTTAATATTAATATTTTAGAGTTTTTATAAAAATACCGAACAGAACTAATAAGTTAAATTTTAAAGTTTATATGATAGTTTGCTAGAATCAGTATTGTAAAAATGATCGTAATTCAGCTTTCGGGGCTGCAATGATCTATTTTAATAAAATATCTATCTAAAATATCTATCTATCTATCTAGACTCGCTAGGAGACAGTTTGTGGGATATAGAGCATACGAATACTGGATTCTGATTGGTTGAGTGGGTGTGATCATGTTGTATATAATTACACGCATGTGTGACGTTCCACACACTTGTTGTTAGGCCAAGGACGATGGAATTCCTAGTCTGTGAAGGCCCTAAGAGATTTCGCTCTCCTTGATAGACCAATTTTAAACGCAATGGCCTGGGACTGTTTATATCTCGTTCATACTCATAGTGTCGCCTCTTATCGCTGCTACACTGGGTTAAAAATTTCTCAGACTGCTTTGTGTGGTCATTCCGCAACTATTTCTGAGTCTCGCATGAAAACATGGTGTCAATTTCGATTTCTTCCCGCTCTGGTTAACACTAGAACTAGAAGAACGCTTATACGAGATGTGAACCTATCATACAAGTTCTTACTATAAATTGGATGTCATTCATTCGTGATTTCCCTTAGTAATCACGATTCACACAAACTATTGCCAGGGGAGCAAGTGTAATAGCACCACCTGAAGAGATTCGACGCTTCTTAGCCAGAAGGGAGCTGGGAGGTTGTCTCCCGTGAAAAGTTGTTGCTCGCCCTTCTCTCCCCCCCCATATTTGGCAAAATTCAGACCAGTACAATTGCATAACATTTTCATATTTTCGTCCTGTGTAAATGTTAGCGTCCTATTTCTTAAATGGCTGTTTCGGAACTATGTAGAAAATAGCATTCTAGAGATCCTGGATTTTAAAGATTCGGGGGAGCATGCCATTGACCCTGCAAACCTACCTACGCCACTGACCTCTACGTGAATATACATGTCATAATGAAAGTCAAATCCTTAATTTGGACAGCCAAGGTCTTGGCTATATTATATACACTTTGCCACTGCCACATCACCAACTACCACACAGACACACTATCGTCAATAATAGTTTAAAAGTACTTACTCGAACCTGAATGATGGCGCTCATTAGAATCTGTGCCCATACTTGGATGACATCTGTAAAAACAGAAAAACAATATATGTTGTAGAAACAATCATCAAAGTCGATATGTCGCGCATATGGGAATGGTGTGCTATTCATTATAAAACTGGTTTATTTCATCTTTCGTTGTCGCGATTAGATGGATTAGAAAATCCCACTTTCCAGTTTCTGTATATATATATATATATATATATATATATATATATATATATATATATATATATACACTGGATCCAGAAAAGTTTGACCTTCGAATATATATATATATGTCGGCCATTTTGAATTTTCTTGGGTTAATTATACGCGAACGCATACATCAAATGTCGCTCGCAACGTATTGTATATTGCAATATTATTCCAACAGCTCAAATGAATAAAAGAATCATTGATTGATGTCTTTGCACATAATCATAATGGCTAGTAGGAAATG